AATTTCCAAAAAGAGTTTAGTGAAAAAGCTCGGAAAATGAAGACTTGAATCCCAAGGAAGTGCTTACTAAGGGTTAGTCACGATTCACTTCAAAAGGAGGACACTGATGTAGGTTAACTGCAAGCAAAGACTTCTTAATTAAGTCGTTGACCGGATTTTCGTGAGCTACCACTCGGGCAGGATGAATGAAAACACAGCTCTTGGGAAAACTGATTGAAGTTCCTCTCTTAGTTAGTACAAAAATACAAACAGAAGGCTTCGCACAAGTTCTGCCACGTTTTAAAACTGTCATTAAGAACCAAATGAACTTAGAGAAGGTAAATACAAGTCAACTTTTTTAGCGAGCGTAGTGCAATACCGCCTGTCGGCCTTTTAAAGGTAGAAGTACACAGTATATGTCCAGTCTGAATTTCAAAACCCCTTGTTTCGCTTATCGAGGAGGACGCAATGTCCCTTTCTGTTTTACTGTTGTATTTGCGATTGTTCTTCATCGCTTCGCAGTCGTTCAATCCGTTACATATGTCGCTGTTTCAGCGCTGTCTCTTCTCGGAATTTTTCTTGTCGGAAGTTCTCAGGGTGAGTTTGGGAGAACAAATCGACGGGTGTGCCCGCTCAGCTGAAATCATGGTCAAAAAGGGAGACAGAAGACATATTTGGTATGATGTGGGCATCCCCTGTCAAAATTAACTGCATCGGTATTCTCTAAGTTGCATTTACCGTTTTTGACCATCATGCGCGCTGCAGCACGCAATGGATCAAAAGAGTTTTTTAAATGCTCAAGCGGTCGCCTTTTTATGGGCGGTTATTTTATTATTATTATAACAAAACTTATTGCACTCCAAGGTTTCAATTTTAGGGATTCAAAGGGAAATGAAAGGAGTATTGCTTTACTTATGATACCTTTGTCCTGTTTGTGTTAGATGGTCGGCACCAAACACAGGAACACAGTTCTAGAGAGTAGTACTGCTCTTGATAGACCCGTTACAAACCATAGCAACTCGGGTTAATTCATCTGAAATAATCTCAAAGATTTTGTTCTAAAAGTAGTAACGCTAATTTGCAAATTAAAAACATTGCAGGAGAAATAGCGCCATCTAAGAAAACAAACACATCCTATCCAAAACAAAGGGTATAATTCGATTTGCACAATATCCAGAAATTACGTGTCACTATACATACGACCATTGATCACAGATATTTTGACAATCATCACCTTCGTAATTATAAAGTGATAACGGCTTTCTTTGCGGTTCAAAAAGTAAAAGTGCTTTTCTTAGCCTTGCGAACACAGCCGCCTCAGCTCTCATCGCTCCTAGCTGGCCCAGCCCAATTAAGGGTGTTTGATAGCCAATGTTAGTTCTCGGCAATGTCTCTGTGGCCTAAAGGCATTTACAGAGCTACTCACTCGGTAGGGTTGGTGGGGCGGCAATAATTTTCGTTTTACCCGGTCGTTTTGAGTAATTTCACCTTAAATAGGATAACGAGATCTGGAGCAACGAGAAAGAAAAACATATTAAGCGTGGGTTTTGCTGAAATCGCTTTACGCACAACTTATAGGGTATTTATACGTCATTGAGCTGCTGTCGCAACAACTCTGGCTTCTCCGAATATAGACGACAGCCTAATCCGGCTGGATATGTTTTAACTGTTTAATAGCGGCTTTTAAGTAAACATAGCGATGATGAAAACAAAATAGCCTGCATAGCAGGCGCTCGGAATCGGAATTAGTACTTCCAAGCGCCTGCTACGCAGGCTAAAAACAAACTGTACTGGATCTGATCTGGCGCTTGAAGCCCAATCAATTCTTTACAAAATAGAAAAAAAGGACACTTTGTAATCAAGACACTAACGTTTGTAAATAATAAGCAGTAGATAGTAGATGAAACGCTGTAATAGTTTGTACCCTGCGTACAGAAAAAAATAAGAAAAGGTAAGAGGCTAAAATTTTCGGAGGTAAGTTTTATGTTCACCATTGAATCTTAGTTCATCGCCGATCTTCTGTTTCAGTAAAAAGGTTGTTTACTATTTCAGCTATACGAGAAATTCGCGGGACACCACTCACTGGGTTTGTCGCTGCATGTCCATGGTTTTGCACTCTTTCACCCTTTCAGATTAGACGCCCGTGAACTGAACTCTAGCCTGTTCCAAGCGTTCAGATAGTGGAGACCGGTGCGAAGTAAAGAAAGCGATGAAAAGCAGAGGGGGACTGGGGAGAGAGGAACGCCTGGAACTAACTGAACTCGAATAGGTCCCAAACTGACAGAACTACTGAAGTGTATGTATGTTGTGGTTCAATTTTATCCTTGGTTTAAATTTAATTTTCTTTTTTGGGGGTATGGTAATGTATGATAATGAGTTTGAAACAAAAGAAAAGAAAATTTAAACCAAGGATAAAATTGAACCACAACATATACGCCAGTTGAGTCAGACACAGACACCGAACTAATTCGCCGAACTTAATACAGCTTTAAGCACCTGAAAATTATGCGTTACTCCGCAGATGAAAAGCTAGGTTGACGCTTCCGTCAATGCCGTTCCCAAGTAGAAGAACGGCAGAGCCACTTCCAGTTGAAACAGGCATTCCTAGTGGATGATGGGCCTGTGAACGTGCGTTCTAGTAGCGGGAGATATAGAGAAGAACTGAAAGCGCCAAGTTCTCCTGGGAGCCTGTACACGGGCTAAACTGATCCAGATGCCGAAATTTCACCAACATTCGCTAATGAAATTCAATTACTTTCGGCTGATGAAAGGTGAATGGGGCCGGAATCCTTGGAACTAAAAAAAAGGCGACAAAATACCCAAGCTTAATTGATCCACTTATAGGGCACTTAACACTTCATACCAAAATAACTTCTCTTCCTCGAGAAGGGATCACTAATCATTATGAAGTTTAAAATGTTCTTTACTTCACTTGGACTACATCAGTTTCTGAAAATCTGCGACACGACAGAGGCGCAAAATAAGTCTATACGTCTCTATCTTTTTCTTCAATGTGGCCTTCGGTAAATCCGGAGCGTGCAGCTGCCATAAATTCGTGCAACGGCGTTTTTACAAGTGAGTTTATTTTTAGATAGGCTTTTACCGCGAAAAATGACTGTTGTCGCTTGGACCTTTTTACAGTCGGCTGTTTCGAAGATGATTTCGATTTCCTTTTGCGTGAATTATGCGTTGTCGCCGATGAAGTAGACGTCCCGGGCTCTTCTACGTTCTGGAAGAGTTCTTTTGGCCTCTGAACTGCTAGTTTCCGTGTAAATACTGAAATTGTCGCTTGAAGTACTTTCAGAAGAATCCTCCGAGGATTCCTCACGTGCGTCTGCCATGCTTTTTTTTCAATGTGAAGGAGTTGTCCTGGTTACGTATTAAAAGTTTATTATGGATGACGCACTTGCTTGTGATTGGCTTTTCGAAAGCAATTCGCGGGAAAGGCTTATCTAAAAATAAACCTACTTGTGAAAACGTCGTTGCATTCTTGTTTGTGGGTTAATGTCACCAGCAGCTATTCATTTTGGTCGCGCCCTCCGATGGAAATTAATTCTTTTCTTCATAAAAATTCTGCGAATAAAGGGTTTTGTTTTGACTTCCACTGAAATGTCACGTGTTTTAAGTCACTTGGTTGCAGGCCAAAAATAATCTATAATTGACACCTCCTCTCAAATAAACGCCCCCTGTCTAATAGCCCCCCCCCCCCCCCCCCCCC